AAACAAAGGAGAATACGGCGTTGAAGAAACACACGGACGAATATATCAATTTATATATATTATTGTCGAACAGCGTACAAGCTTGAAGTAAACTTAAGAGGCCGCTGTTATATGTTATGTTATGGATTTGTTATGCCGTGTTGAAACAATTTGAGCTAATAAGTAAAATTTGACTAAATCTCTTTAACGGTTTAAAACGCGATATATACTAATGTGTACTAATCGCGTAAATTACAGACAGAATCTAATAAGTTAAGTTTGTAAATATTCAGACATTTAAAGCAAGCTCAGACTAGCTAGATGTCTGACTGACACTGTAAAAAATGTTGTATAAATAAACTCTAATTTATCATTAACCTCGAGATCTTGGGTGCTTTTCAGCAGGTAAAAATATCCCCCGCGACCATTATTATATTTTGATGTGTTTTTAAATTCTATTATGTTTAATCAAGACGTTACTCTCATTAAACCAACATTAATAAAAATTGAGAAATAAGTTACAGTTATCATAGTGCAAATTTAAATCTAAAAGCACTTAACCGCGTTATTTCTTACTTGTATTCACCTATAAGATCTTAAAAAATTAGGTTACTAGAGTTGTTTACTCTGTGGTATAGTCGGGCACGTGGCTATTTTATATCAACGACTTTGATACGGTGTCGTGCGCAAGTGTGCCAGAAATATTTTTAATCCAAACAAATGCGGCCGCTCTTCGAAATAAATAGGTCTTAGGGGGAATCTACTTACGTTCATTCAATAACTCATAGATATTCTATGAAGCGTTATTGTAAGCGCGATTTCTGAAAATAACCAACTTAAATAATTGTAGCAATGTATAGCTAATCATCAACGGGTCGTGATTCCAACATGTATCTTATCAATTTATAATGTTTCTGAAGCATGCTATACGTCGTCTAGAAATCGGAATAACAAATGTAGTGGTAAAAAATATATCGAAATTCCGTCCGGGTCACGCCTCTACTACTACCGCCCACAGATGAAAAATCCGTTAAGTCAAATCTAAATAGGTAGTAGCGCATCTCGTTAAGATGTGGTTGGGTAAACTTACCACCAAGTAGCCCCATGCTTGTCTGTTCATTTCTATTCAGAAGAAACGAAAAATTGTTTTCTCTCGCGTTCATTCTATGACCAACTACTCGTTCTTAAAAAGATCAGTCCTTACGGCTCAGAAATGTTTCCCCCCGTGGGGCGTGGGGTTTTCACTTCTACCATGATTACATCCACTCTTAGCGTTTATTATATATTCTATTTAAGTTAATATTATATATACATTAGCTAAAATAATAAGCTATTTTCCTTGAATCTCGAAGCTCGATTCTGACGAAAATTACTCATCTTCATCAGAATCGAGTTAATTTTATAAAAATTCGAAAATCCATATTATCTATACATGAGAGTCCACAGTATTTGCTATTCTGAAATTGCAGCAAGCGCCGTAAAAAACACAGTACTTATATAGTAATAAGGTTTTAGATATTGAAAATTGACAATATTATAACTCAGCCTTATTTTAAAGAGGGTTTAGATCAAATAAAATGTATAGTGTGAACTATTCTTAATAGAATAAAAATCAACGTTGACCAGAACCGGATCACTTAGGACAAAAAGAGCACATGTTTATGTTTCAGGCGAACAGCGAAACAGACAGTATTATATGGGGGAGAGTGTGGAGCGAGTGATAAGATCTCGCGAGATGGTGTGAATGTAAAAACGCTTTTATTTATTTTTAATACATGGTTATATTGAGTAAATTCTAGTATTAATAACGATTGATAACCATTAAGTGTAGGAAAGCAACGATAATAAAACACTTTTCTTTAAACAGAGAAAGATCGAGGGATTTAAAAGTAGACGAATTTAAGAATGGCTGAAGTTATTAAATTGTGATTTTTAAAATAACAAATAGTCTGTCTAAAGGTAGATATATTAAAATCCTATATGTACTAGTACAGCTATGAAAATATTTGTAATCTTTTTAACAGGAGTTAACATCTCCTGATGATGCCGTCCGCACGCGATCCGCACGTCTTCTCGCTCACATCGGCTGAACAGCCCGAAAAACATTAATATGCTGAACGATGGCCGTGAAAGCCTTTAAAATTGTTGTTCTTATATATAATAGCAATTCAAAGTATATCATTCGTATTAATTCGTCTCCCTTTGAGTACCTTCTTCAATATAATTAATTACTTCTTTTATAATAAAATAATATCACAATAACAAATATTTCGTATACCTTGTACCACGCGCTAAAAAAGTGTTGTTTACACCGCATTGAAGAACGATAGTCGAGTAATTGTAACTGTTTCCAAGGATTGAAAAATAATCTAAACGTTCGTTGGGTGAGATTTGACATCAAACAGTTAAAGCATATAGCATATATTCTTACAGTCTGTGGATTGATTGGGCCTAAAAGAAGACTGAAGAAGAGCAAATAAGCCGTTTGTGAAATTAAAGAAGGAACTGTACTTACAAAAAAAAAAACGCAAAATCTATGTGTGTTTTGGGGGCCATTTTTCACCCAGGAAATTATGTTACAATTTTGTAGTAAACTTTGAAAAATCAATGTGTCTGATATATATATATATATATATATATATTTTAAATATTTTGTATCGCTTTCAAAGGTTCCAAATAGCCAAAGGTAAAATTATCAGCGACATAGGGAAGGCTTAAACAAATAAATTTTTCTACTGGAAATTCATTGATCATACTTACTAAACTAAACGACATATTTCACCGGGATTCGAACTCAAGGCCCCAAACTTAACAGTATACTGAGCAATGCACTTTATTCTTAAGCCACGAACTATTTCCTTCAATAAAATATTTCTTATAAAATTACAACTACGCTAATATTTGAAACCTACGATATAAGTTTGATTATATTACAATTACACTTTAATCCAATTTCTCTTTGAAGTATTGAAAAGCCACACACTTCGTGTTGAGAGGTTCATAGCTGAAACAAAAGGTTTGTACACTAATATTCTTTGTAATTGACAGAATCTGTCTGTTGGTTTATTGTTTTACCCTGGCCTGTTGAACGTAAACAGGGACGCTTGAGTGACTCGGTACAAATGTTAATTAAATTGTTACATTTCATTGTATAAAAAAATTATATTCGATTAAATTTCTGTGTACAGGTTTTCTTATATTATAGGAATGCTTTGGATATTCGGGAATCCACAGACTGAAAATAAACACGATTAAATTTGATTGCTGATTTATCTGTGGACGGTAGTTCGTGACCTGGACAGCATTGCGATATTCCTGCCAACCTTTTAATATCCAGATTTCACACTAGAAACACGTTGGACCCGATGGGGATCGAACCCATCCAATAATTTATAAATATCGAACAGTTAATAAAGGTTTTATGAGCTGATATCATTTGGATTATTATCGTTGAGTACAAAGCGTTGACTTCTAAATCTTTAAATTATATTTAGTAAAAATTCGAATAATCACTAACACTTATTTTTTTATCCTTATAATTATATAGATAATTATCGATTTAGTTTGTTGTTACGCAGTTAGGTATTAAATTTATTATTCTATATATTATATACCACGTAAAACGTTTCTCTTCAATAACGTTCAATCGTTTGATGGTTTGAAGTCTATTTTAGGAAACCAAGTACAGTTTAAAAACATATAAACGAATCAAAGAAAATAGTAACATTACCCAATAAGTGGTTAAGTAGTAAAGAAGAAAGGGTAAGCTGAAATGTTGGGTTCATCATAAAAGTACCATATTGTTTATTTAGTTGGCGTTTAAGTTGAATTAATAATTTACTTAATAAAACTCTATTTTTGTGTACAATTTCATTAATAACTTACAAAACATCGCAAAAGTAAACTTTTTTTTTGATGTTTTAATAAAATATTAGTTAACTCTTTCGTGTTTAGTGCGTATGTTTGATCATAGATGGCGCTGTTAGTTCCCTTTTGTATGCACTCTTATTTGTTATCCTATAAACATAACATTAGAATTACGTTATTCTTTTTATATTCAATTTTAAATAGGATTAAATATTGTAACTATAAAGACATTTACAAAAAATAATCGTCTAATAGGTTTCGGAAATTTACGTCTTCGTGTCCTTCAATTTCAATAAGCCACAGTCTTAAGTGAAATAAACCTCGAAAAAATTAATAAACGACGCAATTCTATTAAGATAAAATGGTAATTTGTCGCTTAAGTGCGTCATTCATTACTTAAAGATTTTTTGTTTAATCTTCTATCAAAAAACTCTAAATTACGTGGTGTGGAAAATTTTGGCGCTAAATTTCAACTTTTACGTGTTTTTAAATTTGAAACGTTAAATAATCTATGTCAAGATCATACGCATCTATTAAAATTCATGATTTTACAGAAGATTATTATCCAGTGGTTCGTGAGCTCGGTGTAATTATAATTATAATAATTGTTGTATTTACATTCATATGAGTTCGTGTTTCGACTGCAGGTATTATATTCTGGTCTGCTTGTAGACAAAGATTTTTTTGTTAGACTAATTATTATTTTGACAGCAGGTCAATAAATTAGTTGGGATTTTGAGAAGTGTATGATTGTAGTCTTATACTGATAATATAGACAATGTTATCTTGTATTGTATGTTCACTAAAATTTATCTGTTAAACTACTGATTTTTCCTTTATACACAAAGTTGTAGCTCAAAATAGGTAATTAGTAAATAATAGTAACCTACGAAGTTAAATAATAATTATTATTGTTATTATTGCTGACTGAAACGTCTTCTTGCTTGCTCAAAATACTGTGTCGATGCTGTTCTAAGTTGCTAGAAATTCTGAAAAAAAGGTTTTCGCGCTGGTGTAGATATTTTACAAAGATGAATGTTAGCCGTCTGAAGCCGTGACTTTTCAGTGCTTGACGGCAATCGTACGTAGCGACGCCGTGTCCGAGTGGGTTCCGTTATGTCCGCACCAGTTCAGTAAGTGCCCGGCTCGCAGGTATGCGGCATGTGTTACGTAATGGGATGCTTCGTGTCTCGTCTCTCGTGTTTACAGTGGCCGCAGAGCACTGTCGCTTGTCCCCACTGCGCATCGATCCGCTCCGCCCACCGCTCGCTCCTCCCACCGTCTCCCCCCGACACCCTCGGCCCCCTCCCCTCACCTCTCAGCCTTTGTCACGCGCCGCCCGCGCGGTCACCTGTGTCGCACGTCCTCAGTCGCAAAGCGGCCGCCTCGCGCGACACCCGCCTGTTGCGTTGTGCTATTATGACAGTGACGTGATGGAGGGCAAAGATTTCGGTGCCGTACCCGGCCTGCCCGCGGGCCTGGACTACTTTATGATGCCGCGGGTCGCGCAACCCACCCCGCAATTCGACTTCAGAAAACTGGGAGCCAGCTTCAGCGGTCGCGACGACGAGAAGAGCGAAGAGAGGCCCGAGTATCAGCCGGAGCGCCGGGAACCACCCTCGCCCTGGCCGCTCGGTCTGGGCGTGCAGTTCGTGAACCCGGCGACCGGGAAGAAGCGTGTTCAGTGCAATGTTTGTTTAAAGACCTTTTGCGATAAGGGCGCATTGAAAATTCACTTTTCGGCCGTGCATCTGCGTGAAATGCATAAGTGTACCGTGGAGGGTTGTACGATGATGTTCAGTTCGCGGCGTTCGAGGAATCGACACAGTGCCAATCCGAACCCCAAGCTGCATTCGCCCCACGTGAGGCGCAAGATCTCGGCGCACGACGGCAGGTCAGCTCAACCGTTTCCTTTACTGCCGGCGTTGGCGCGATTGCCTTTACCCTCGCCTGCGCTGCTACCACCTGAATTAGCGGCGCGGCTACCTCCGCCGCTCGCGGGACACCACGGACCGACGCCGCTACCACCGCGAGTACCGCTTGAAGATCTACGGAACTTCAGTGAAATTGAAAAAATGTACAGAAAGATTCCAACACCTGAAGACTCGTCGCGGCACGTCTTAGATCTCGCGAAACCACACGTAAGCTCGGACTGTGAATCTTATAGTTGCAACGACAGTAGTTCGGAAGTCTTAGATGTTGAAAAACAAGAAAATCTAGACGCTCGTTCCGTGTCCCCGGTCGAAGAGAGGCGGAGTTATGAAGATGAGCCTGAAGACTTAACTGTAAATAAAAAGAAGGATATAAAACCAGATAACGGCAAGCACACAGACATAAGTAGCATTATTAGAGTAGACACTACCGCCTCCGACGATAAATCGTCATTAGTTCCAAATAAACGTAAACGAAAAAGTGGAAACCCGACAAGGTGCCAACAGAACAACGAATACAGCGTATCCGATGAAGAATATAATAGTGATTTATTTAAAAATCTATCTGTAGCCAGTACGAGTCAAGGGACTGAAGAACCATTATCTCTGAAGAAGCAAAAGCCCGAAAAGTGGGAGCCATTTCAGAACGGCGAAGAAACAAACGTGGACTCGGAGTCAATAGCCCGCGTGAAGGCTGAAAGCGAGTCTGATGACGAATCCAGTGCCCCGAGTGTCGTGAGAGAAGGTTTGAGGCTCCGATCCGATCTCTACACGCCGAGCGATAGCGGGAGCGACTTGCACGCTCTTGAGGAGCGACTGGCGCGAGTGAGATCACCCTCGGGGAGTAGTGACAGGACCGACGAAAGATCAGACGTAAACGATATCGAGATACCGATAGACGAAGAGAACCCCGATAGATGTACCGCGTGCGGTAAAATATTTCAAAACCACTTCACGCTGCGAATGCACTACAGAAGCGATCACCTAAAGCTCTTGCACCCGTGCGACGTAAACGGCTGTGATGCTGCGTTTCCTTCGCGGCGGAGTCGAGATAGGCACAGCTCCAACATAGATCTACATCGAAGACTACTATGTACGTCGTCGCCGGACAACCGGGAGCGGCCAAATTTCGAAGTTAATGCTGAGTTATTGAACAAGCTATACGCAGACATAAAAGGCCTCGCCTCAACGCTGGAGAGCCTTAGATACGGCGGCGAGGAAGCTTCACAACTGCCAAACTACGTTTCGGAAACAATGAAGTTCTACAGCCGGAATTTGAGTGCGCTGCAGGCTGGGCTATTCCCTCAACTGGGAGACCGGTTTTTTCCAGCCCCGTTTCTAATGAACGGGGCCTCGCAGCCGGGGGGGCTGTACGGGGCTCCAGCGGGGGCCCAGACGGCTAGAGAGTCGTTATCGCCCTTATCGGCGTCGTCTCCTCCGGTCATATCTCCCGGAAGGCTAGACGCGGCGCACGCCCGCCCCCGCGAAGACGCGAAGCTGCTTTTTCGAGAGACTTCTGAATCGTATAAGAAGATGACGTCCCTGTGCGAGCGGCAGGAGCAGTTGTACCAACACCACGTCCCCGTGTCATGACGCTACCAGTACAACCCCCGCGCTTCGTGGTGATCACGTCCCGTGACGTCAGAGACTCTGTATATACCTTATTGTTAATAATATTGTGTTAATTCTATCGTAATTCGTTTTGTATTTTTCTTGTGATATCTAGACAATTATATTAATCCCACGAACTGTAAGTTAGGGACGGGACCGCTCGTTTTCCGTTGTCGCAGCGGCGTGCAATAGGGACTTCTGGACAGTGATGTATCTCGTGTAGAATATTCGTAATCGATGTTGAAAGTAAACGTTATCGGCTTCATTTATTGTTCTGGCGCAATAAACTCATTGAGGAAAAGTACTATTGTTTTTATTTCCGATGTTAGTGCGAGCGTGGCGCATCGAACAGGTAATCTTGTTACGGTTTATTAATAACGATGTTCGCTTGGGGCGCTCGACTGTAAACAAACATTTTTTCCAACTTTGTCATTACGCCTAAGACCTCTTATGGTGCTCATTGCTATGCTTATGCCGTGTTCTTAGTGAATAAACACAGCAGCATTTTAATAATGATTAAAATGAAGAATAATAAAACACACAAACATTCCTAACTAGTTTATTCTTTGTGTTGCGAATATGTAAGTATTAAACAGTTAATGTCATTATATTGATAAATATTTTGGTTTTTTGAACATATTGTGTAACATTAGCAAAAAACAATTCAGCTCTAAACGGGTGAAAACATTATTAAATTGAACACCACATGAAATGCCAATATCTAAAATATTCTATAAACTGATAAGTCAAACATTTTTTAAAAATATTAAATGTTAAGAACAAGATATTTTTTGATACACTTGGAACTTTCATGAGTATTCAATTATACTTACATTCGATTCAAAAATCGATCAATAATGAATCAGTAATGCAACAGACCGTCTCTGTAGCCAAATGGTTGAACGTGTTGCCTAGCATTGCGTTAAGCACGAGAGGTCCGAGGTTCGAATCCTAGGGAAACAAAAATTGTTTCGGTCAGGCAGGGCACAGAAGTCTGATCAACTACTTGCCTGTTAAAGAACGGATCAGTGAAACTGGCGCAGAAATGTTGTCGCCCCGTGCCCCACGAGGGGGAGACGGGATTTCACACACAATACAACAGAACGAGTGAGTTTCCTTTAAGTAAGTAAGTATCTATTATATCTTTATACTATACAACAGCTGTAGATTTGAGTCCCTTTCTGGTACGCGACAAGAATTCAGGACATGTACCTACTACTAACAAAAAATCGAGAGAAGGTTATTTACAGTTTATTTTATCATGAATAACTACATAACATGAGGAAACTTAGTATATCTGTGAACATGGAAAAGCAGGAGCTTTTCACAACATACATAAATTTAAATTCTTAAAACCTTATCTATAATACTCCACGCATAGTTAAACACTAAGTATTTAGCTCTACAGTTATTATTAAAATGCTTTTTTTCTCATGTGTCCCCTACGAGAAGTGAAGAACCTAATCAGCGAAATTATGTCTTCGATGACGCCTTACGATTTTTAGAGCAAAAAGATTTTCTATGATTAATGATGGGCTTTAAAAAACTTTGTCTAATACCTTGTTTTGTTATTGAACGAACTCAATGGTAGTAATATTTGGCAAATATTCAACTCGTGGATTCGATTCTGACCTTTTTAATAACATAATAAATATCTGAGAAATCTAAATTTTAAATGAGTAGATAGAATATCGAAATTCAATTCCAGGTCTTCAAACGCTATCTCCAGGTGGAAAAGTCGTATCAGTTTCTGGATTTACGAATGTCTAAAGGCCCAACAACGCATCTGATATTACACACCTGGAGTATTTGACCTTCCATCGAGTGAGCGTTTTGTTTGTGTTCTTTCATAATGAAAAATAAAAAAAAATCCTCAACTTTAGAAAAATCGTGAGCATGAATAATTTCAGGAATCATTAAATAGATTCGCCTTACAATAATACTAGGAATACAAAAGACAAGCTACTTGGCCCTCAATTACATTTTTGTCATGGGGTCGAAAAACAATGTTTGTTGCATTAATTTTAGATTTGATGATAAAAAGTCGACATAGATAATATTATTTTAAGACTAGAAATAAACCTTCTAGTGATTACACACAATATTAGTAAAAATATAAATTTATTTTTTTTATATTTGACTACTGCCCGTCGTTTTAGACGCTTTGCAGCAGCCGTGGTCACGACAGGACGACTTAAACTTAAACATAAGTTTCGTAATATATTCCGCGTTTTTAAACGTTTAAAGTGTTTTATTTAAATGTGTACTTTCGTAAACTACAGACAATACTTAATTAATAATTGTTTACGCTAAAAATGTAATGGAACAAGTTTCTTCTGTCTGTCTGACTGTTATAACTAAATGGCTCATCCTAATATAAATGATGTTTTTAGATAAACTGTAAGTATTTAAATAAAACACTTTAACGGTTTAAAACGCGATATATTAGTTAAACTTATTTGAAAATGATTTTTAACTTCGGCCCGACATTTCGGATGCTTTGCAGCAGCAGCAGTTAAAGTGTTTTATTTAAATGTGTACTACTCGCGTAAACTATAGACAGTATTTAAACTGTAAGTACTTTTGGGATACCTAAGGCTTGGGTCTTTAGAAATTGACTGCCAAAGTATTTTTAAAAGTGAAAAGTAGTGTGACTAAACCAATTCAAATAGCAATAAATAAAATAAAATTCAAATAAAAACACATACATTTTGGTAACGTAAACGAACTTAGCAAAGAAATTACTTTGTTGACAACTCGGTGGAAAATTGATTTATCTGTCGCAGGTTTCCACGAAAAGTTTGCTTTACTTTGACTCTTGTCCGGCTCCGCTCATGATGCACTCGCGTGGAACGTCGGGATGGTCTTGGGACAAAAGAAATTCTGTGGAACTAATCACATTGATCCGTTGTTTCATTGATTCGTGAAAGAATGACAAAACTAAAACGAAACGGCGTAATTTATACAGTTTAAGGCCCTGTACTGTCAATAGCTTCGAAAAAGGAACATTATTATAACCAATATTAACCGCGTTTTAAACCGTTAAAGTGTTTTATTTAAATGTGTACTACAGTACTTAACATTATCATAAATTTATACTAATAATATAAAGCTGAAGAGTTTGTTTGTTTGAACGCGTCAATCTGAGAAACAACTGAAATTATCCAACTTAGAAAATAACTAAACTGTTTAATTCTCCTTCGGCCTCTCAAGGGGCCACAAAATATCACTGTTGGGACATCAGTCCCAACGTAGCTTAGCTGGCTTCCTTTTCAGAGGCAACTATTGCAATATTTAAGTTAAAATTTTATTTACTTCTTGATATTGTTTATTAGATTAAGTTTTAATTGTAATTTTATTACAATTAATTAATTTTATTATAATTTTATACCAATTTTGATTTAAACCAATCAAAATATCTTGTTCTGACTTTATAGGTAGCGTTCCGTGATGTTGCTCTGAACACTGATGATGCCGGTTCAAGTCCTGTCCGAGTAAACTTTTTTTCAATTTATTTTCGATTATTTATTTTATAATGCCATCATGTGCAATAAGATATGAAAAAGTTAAATTTCTGTCTCTATCTCTCAATATGACTTTTTTTTAAATATTAACGACTAATCATATGAAATAGGTACCTCATGTCTTTGAATAACGATCTAAATTCGTCCAAATTGCTGGCAATTATGCCCTTCAAGGTTTCAAGACGTGATGCAATTTTTAAACTTTAATAACACGTTAGTAGCATTTGACAAAACGATTCAAAAGCGGCCATTTGTTTAATAGAGGTCTGTGGTATTGTGAAGGTCGTCGCTTGTATAACGATTTTATTTAATTATACCAATTGATGGATGATGTACGCGTGGTCTCCCGAAAATGTTGTTATAGGTGTATTAACATTTTATGCGAAATGTGATGACGATTTAAGCGAGAAAAAATAAAATTAATTAATAATACTTGTTTTTTTTAATGATAAAGGAGGACAGAGAAGCATGAGAGTCACTCGATGTTAGAAATATCTCAGCCTTATATATAAAAAAGCGCTGTGTTTTGGATATTCGGAAATCCACAGACTGAAACCAAAACGTGATTAAACTTTACGGCTTTTTCGTCTGTGGGCGGTGGTTCGTTACCCGGATATCAATATTCCTACCACCTATTATACAAATTGTACAGACGAAGTCCAATGTTTCAGAAAAATTATGAAAATATTAGAAAACTGTTGGTTAATTTAATTGCTGATTTAATCAATTTCGTTTAGAGGTTTAGGAACATGTAAAATACATTTTGATTCAAATTTTAATAAAACATTTTTAACGATTTAAAACGCGAAATATGTATGTATTGTATTAAATACTGTCTATAGTTTACGCGAGTAGTACCTACACATTTAATAGTCAAATATAAAACACTTGAACGGTTTAAAACGCGATATATTATGGTTTTTTGATTATGGTTTCGGGTGCTTTGCAGCAGCTGTATCACGGGGAAAAATTAGCATCCCAAATTTCCGGCCTTGGTAAAACTTAATTAAAAATAAGTTAGGAGATAGTTTTATTATTGTACTATCTGCGTAAACTACAGACAATAAGTAGGTACTTACTTGATTCAAATTTCGAACCTCAAGTCGCATGTCTAGTAAGTTACAAGACTTGTAAGGGATTTAATTGTCGAACTTGTTAAGTTTGGGATAGCACATAGCTTGAGGGTCTAATATTAATTACGGTTTGACAAACTGTGGTCTACCCTAACTGGCATTATTAGGTTTTCATTTTAATTAATTAATTTATTAGAATTATAACTCTTGATGCTGTTAGACCGATTACTTGTTAAAAAAATAATTCATTACCCTTATGCAAGTAAAAGTTTATTCCATACACACGTTTCAGATTAACTTGCAAGAATTACAGGACGCGAACGACCTTGTGGGTGCGAGCTAGAATTTATAAGAATGAAGAGGCTTGGAAAAACGTAATTAGATT